TCTGTGTCTGTGTAAAGTAACCAGTGAAGGACATATTATCTAGCTATGGAGTGCTAATTGTCCGACAGTGTTAGATTTCAAAGCAAGCGTTACCATCTTGTCCTGAGCCCTGGAGATGTTCTGTCAGGTCACAGCCGAACACATTCTCACTTCCTTTCTTTTTGGCCTTCTGCTTGTTTCCTTTATTCTTCATGTGGGCTCCAATTAGTAGTCCAGAAGATTGAAACAGAACGTTCCCTGAAACCACCAGAATTGATCCATATGAGCCCAAAAAATAGAATTGAGATAGCAGGTCAAAAGGCAGCCGCACAGGAATCCCAGCACACGGCTCCCAAATGCCTGCATCCGCTCGCACCCTGACAGACCACACGGTTGGTGCTGACGTCACTTTTCAAACTTCAACTCTTTTTACATGGCTAGTTCCTCAGAAGACGAGCCGAGAAAAGACGTGGTGGGACTGTTCCTCATGGCACTCAGCTGAATTATGTGAGCAGATTTGCAGAAACAGCACCAGAATGGTCTGGTTTCCTGTTGTTTTTTCACCCCCAGTCTCTCTCTCTCTTGCTCTCCCTCTCTCTGCTCTTTTATCTCCTCCTCTTTTCCTTCATTCCAGTCTGTTCTTCTCACTGGTTTCTTCTGCAGCTGAGACACCCATCCATTAGAAACATGGTTATAGTTATTTTTTGAGAAAGACTTTCTGCATTTTCTGAATTGAGGGATAGCCTCGTGGCAGTGATGTGGCAGGAATTTTTCAAGCGTCCAGACTTTGTAAGAGGGAGGGAGACGAGGTTATGGGAGGAGGAGAACAGCTGACATCTGCTTCTCTCCCAGTTTAGGAGTTACGGACCCGTCTTATATTTTCTTCCTCTCCTCCGTTATGTCCTCAGAGTTGGAGCTAATGAGAAAGCTTCTCCCTGCCTTTCCTGAATGCTCCCAATGTATACACAGTTTCCTGTGCAAAGAGCCCAGGCTCAAAAACAAAAACAGACGGGCTCTGAAGGAAGAGGAAAGTGGGAGGTGGCTCAAGTGAGGGCCTGAAGGGCACAGATGGGAAACGAGGAGGGGGGGGAGTGTTGGTGGACCAAGATGGACAACACGTGGTTCTCGTTACTAACTGCCTTGTATTTTATTGTTTTCCCTTTAAATTAGACAGCAACTTCAATGAAAACACAGAATTAATCGGTGCAACGTGTTGACTTTAAATGTAGGGAGTTAGTTAATCACGGTTTCCTCCACAGCTGCTCTCCATGTCTCCACCAGATCTATTTCAGTTACATCCCTGCTCTGGAATGCCAAGCCTGGTAAATATCATGTAATAGCACAGGATATACCATACGACCGAAGCCCTCTGACTCTCACCACATTCAGCAGTTCCACATTCTGTAAACTAGACTCAGCAGTTCCTCGCTCTACCAAGCAGTCTTCCTCATCTTTCAGAAACACTGAGTTCCTTCTTGGATTATTTTGCTGTAAACCATCCTGATCCTGTTTTGGTGCTTGGTTTTAAATATCCTTTGAATGTGATTGGCTCATTCCTTTACAGTTTTTAAAATGCATAAACCCATTTTTTAAAATTTATGTGGGAAATGTCATACTAAACCAATGCTTACCAATACATTGGTTACACAGAGATGAAGATTCCACTCATGAATCCCAATTCAATGAACAGAACGCAACTGGATTACTTCACTTGTTTCTTGAAGATGTTTTATGTTTATCCAAGATCAGTTTTTGGTTCTGATTTTGGATGGGGGTAATTTTTCAACAAAGTTAAGCACAAGATTACTAATCCTTTTCGCAGATTTTGCATATCTTTTGGATATAAACACATATTCTGCCATTCATTAAATGAATTATATGATTTTTCAATGAAGTGACCATGAAATATATTGGTTTAGTAATATTCCTCTAACAATCTAAATATTTTGCCTGTCTCATTTTTTTTAGAATCAAACTTCTTGGGTAAGTGAAAATAGTTTTGTATCTAAATCTGTCAGTAGTAGAAAATATTTAGGTTTAACTCCACATGTCTGAATTACTCTATAGGATTTACTCCACATGCGCCACATGATGTGATATTTGCAGTACAATGCGATGAAGAGCGTTGAAATGTCTGTTTGGATAAAACCGAAAACATACACAACACAGAACAGAGCGGCCAGCCTCTCAGCTCAGGTTGGTTATTTATCTACATTTCTAGAACAAGGGACAATCTCTTGAGAACACTCAAGTGCTCATTTTAGCAAAAGAAAATCTGTTTTTGGAAGAGTAATAACAAAAAAGCACAAAAATAGAAAATAAAAAACAGCATGACAAAGAGGAGAAGGTTCCAGTAGTTTCGAGCTCCAACCTTCGATGGTCGGTGTCCTGCAAACTTTTGGTGCATCTTAAATGCAGGAGGACGACTGGAATTTGAAACACTTGATCTGTGGATGTGAGTTGATTCAGAGCTGACTCACCTCCCCAGATTAATGTGATGGACATCATACTTAGAAACCCAAAACTATCAACTTATGATGAGAGCTAAAGAAGCCTTCTGGATAAGAGCAGAAACCAAAATAAAAGTCCAGTATTCTCCTATTTCAGCACTTTGGAAATACAGTACACTTGAAGCAACATCAACATTACTTGGAAAAAAATGGATTTCTGTCCAAAAGGGAGTTCTGTCCAAGTCCTATATCTGGTTTACTTTTACTTACCTTTTGACCCTTCCCAGCAGCTGTGGGAAATATAACATTTTAGCTTTAAAAGGAACCCCATGATTAATGGCAACGCACCAGAGCTATCACTGCTCTGTTTAATATCCTCTACATTCATCTGTTCTACTCCCCAATGTCCAAGACAAGCAAACAAGAAGGCAGTTTGGGAGATGTGCACCTCAAAAGAACTTCAAACAGCATAGAAGTTGATTTAGTAGAAAGGAAAAAAATACAATAAAGTTATTTAACATGATTTACTTTATACATTTTATAATAAACACATTGCTGAACACATTACAGGGAATATGGACATTCTTTTAAAATGTAGTAATGGAGAAGTCTGGTTTGTGAAAGAAATTGTTTTGGTGCTAAAAGTGTTTTGTGAATGTCACATGTTTGAGCGATGACCAGGCCTACCCTCTGCAAGACAAAGGTTTCTTTCTACACCATAGGAAGAGGACATGACATCATCCTGCTCATACAAAGCCTCAATATCCCACTCTTTCTTTGGGCTGGGAAATTAAAAAAAGGGGGAAAAAAATACGGCATGGTATTGTAAGTGAATAATAGGGTTCACTTGTGTCTTTATTTTTAGTTTTTGAGTACATATCTGATGTGTTCCATATGTAATGCTTTGACTTTCATATTTGTAACTCATATGGTGCTCAGCTTGGTGAGGAAATGATGCAAAGAGAAGAAAAAAAAATCAAGACATAAATGAATAGTTACTGCATAAATCTTGATGTGCATGTACGTCTCAATAAATTATAATGTGATTATGCACGTTTGAAAGACTAAAAACACTAAAAATAACCTTTAAACTGGTATTAAAAAGCAATGAAAGAGTAAAACATTAAAGGGGTTGAGTTCTATCTATCTATCTATCGCTCTAACTACATTTCTTTTATGTACACGTTCATTTAGTTTCATGCTGCTTGAACTTCAGACAGATAGATAACTCTTTTTGCCACATGTAGTACTTTCCAACTTTTCATCCAAGCTCTCTTCTTTAGGCCATGTTTCCTTTCAATATGCCAGCTGCAAAGCCTTGTTAAAGTCTAAAAGCATACTTTAGTAACCACAAATTAATTTGCAGATCAACTTATGCAGGTATTTGTTTTAATACAAAATACAGGAGGATTTGCATTTTATTACAACAATGTCACTGATGTATTTTTAAGTATATTTCACAAAGACATACTATTATGTGGCCATCATTTTGCACTACACACTAGACAAAGCATTATTTTATTCAGAGGTGGCAAAATAAATTTACACAAGTCTAATATCAGCAGGTGCCAAAATACACCAGCAGATTCAATTTTAGACCCATGCTGTCAGAAGCACGGATGGATGTTAATTTCCTCTTCAAATGATAATAATACATTTATTTCATGGGCACTTTGTGCTGCTCATGGCCACTTTTTAAATTCTGATGGAATAATTCATGAAGAGTCATTTTAAATGTCATTGCTGAAGGGTACAGAAAACTAACAATGTTTTAGACATGTGTCTACAATATGACACATGTTCACATCAAATACTGACTACAGACTTAAAGGCAATTAAATAAAATAAAGTTTTTTTCAGTGCTTTACAGTGGCTTGTACAGTTATCAGTTTAAAAAACGACATAATGAAATTGTTTTCATCAATACTGACAAAAAAACACTATTAACTACAGTATTTATCTAAATACCAGTTTTAGAAATTATCAACAAAAAAACACACACATTTCTTATTGTGGATACATTGATATATTGTAAAAATAGTAGCAAAAATTATTTCTTTTAATACAGTAATAAAAGTCCCATGTCCAATATTTTCTAAAAGGACATGTTTCAATGGAACCCGATGATCACACTCATGCACTGCCCCCTGCTGGTGGAACTGCGTCTATTACTCTGTCTTCAACAAGCTCAAATACTCTCTAGTAAACTGCCCTAATTAAGACAGTCAGCTTTGGTAACAAGGGATATTTCTACCTATACGTATCAAATGACACATCAGGAGCTCAATTTGAACATTTCTTACAAGAATGCTGCCAACATATGCTGGAGACACTGAGGAATATATTAGTACTGTCAGTAAATCAAATACATGTCTCTCATTTACTATGTGATAATTCAAACCTGTGTCACCTGGAATGTGAATGGTGCAAATATGCACCAAAAATGCATATTTGCACCATTCACAAATTCTGATTTGTGAGTATTTGTGAGATTTCCTTTTTTGTCACAAAAATGTTTAAAATTATTAAATCAATTTTAGTATCAGAGATCGACAGAATAAATACAAAGTCTAATTTCTAAATGATGATTTTATTCATAAAGAAACAAAGCTATCCAAACTGACTTGGCCCTGTATGAAACAGTAAACACCTCTTTATTAAATATTACATAAAGGGTAAACTGTACAAACCAGTTTTACAACTCTTTGATGAAGCACCAACAACAAAAAACATCAGTAGAATCAATTAGAGAAACTATTTTATTTTAAGATTGTAAAAATCTAAAGATACAAAAAAGGCTCAAAATAAGAATCTCACTTTTAACACATCCACACAAAAAAAGCTTTGAAAATAAAATTGATCAAGTGACATTCTTCAAGAGTTCAAATAGCATTGTTTTAAACTTTAAAATGTCAGCTAAGTTGTTTCAAAACTAAATGATTTTCTTTACCTGTCTACACATTCATTCTACCAGCCAAAATAAAAATGTAATTCATTAAGGAGAGATTGGGGGAAAAATACACATTTAGTGTTTAAAACATGTTGTAAACTACTAGTACTACAGCATACTGCCAATTTATGAGGTGTGCAAAATTGTTTCTCATACATAAATGCTTCCTTAATGAGAAGCAACCTTTCGCGATTCTGACACAAAAAACATACATGGAGTGTTAATAGTGACAGTGCTATGCAAGGGCACACTTTTCAGTATCAAAAAAAGAATTTAAAATGTTCTACAATGATATAAAAATAATAATAATAAAAATTGATATATGTCAGAAACATGATGCAATAGAAGCAAATATGCAGATTTTCCTTCCGTCATTTAAAAGTTACAAAGTGGTATGCAATCCATCACCTATTAGTAAGTACCACATAAAACAAAGCATATAAGGCTTTAAAATTACAAAGAAAATAATTTAGGCTCATTAAACCTGCTTCTTATAAAAACTTCCTATGATTTAAGTTACTAGAGCAGATTTTTTTTTACTAATGCAAGAGAAGTATAAATATAACTAAAAATGACTTTGGAGTAATAAAACTTACAATGGCATCGTAACCTTAAATTATACCATAAGTATAAGACAAATTTCAAAGTAAAAAACATCAGTGTCACTATGAGACTACCTTTAAAAAGGAGCAAATCCACCACTTTAAACGATCATAACATCTCCTACTGCATTTCAGACTTCATATTAACCATAGTATATTGATATTACTGGATTTGTAAGGTGTTTTTTCAATCTAGGAAGAAGTTTTGTTTGTCATTTGCTGTCAAACTGATACAAATCTGAATCCTTCATCACTAACCAAAATGATCATATTTAGATCTTATATGACCTGTAGTAGTTCTAATAACGCTAAAAGGTGATAAATCAGCAATATGAACTGATCCTGCTGGAGATACGATGTGATCAATCTGGAATTGAAAAGCTTTCCCAACACAGGGCATTGCAAAGATATGGATGATACCCTTATGTGTATCACATTAAAAAAACCACTTTCTGTTGAGTAGAGACAGGAAATCTTGAAGCTCCAATCTCAGCAAAAATGTTGTTTGGCCAAGTAATTATGCAAGAAATATACATCTTATTACACAATTTGCAAAATACATTGACAATCATTCCATTTCTGAATGATGCATGATTTTGTGTTGTTCCGTCACAAAAAATCCTCCCAAAAAGCTTTCAACTTTGTGCTTATCACTTGAGAAAAAAAAGAAAGACTGAAGGCTATTCTTACCTTTGCTTATCACTGCAAACGGTCCGCTTACATTTGAGGTACTGCATGTGCAAAAAATCAATAGTATAAATTCCTCCTTATTAAGACATTGTTAGGCAATGTTTACCTCTGCTGGCATCACTATGTAATCTCTTTCTATAAGAAAACCTGCATCCTGGAACCTATTCAGCATCACATTACAAGATCATACAACAACCAGTCATTGCTTCTCAGGTGCCAAAACAAGGACCTAGTCAGTATGAAGTGGTGAAGAAACAGGAAAATAATAAGGCATGAGTGTGAATTAAACAGTGTCTGACAGGAAACAATGGTATAGAAAAAAAATATAAAAAACTACTGGAATGACAGTTGAAGTTAACAATTCAATGAATGAAGATTACATTCCTAACAACATAAAGAAATAAAACATGGAATGATATGTAAAACTGTGCTAAATATCTGAATATCATCTCACCAAAAAGAATTTAGTTTGTCAGTTTTTTAATAACCTTTCAGCAGACAGTGGTCTCGACCTCATAGAAAATAATGGGTGTCAAACTCAAGGCACGGGGGCCAAATCTGGCCCGCCACATCTGTTTGTGTGGCTCTCATGTCTCCATAGGGCAACATAAATATAGAACTTGAAGATACTGGTTGTGTGCTTAAATATTATTTTACCAGAAGAACCAAATTAGTTTTTAGTGCCAAAGTACATCAATGTGAAGAACTGTTGAAGTTGCCCTACATCCAGTTGGCTGACCTATTGGGGGTCACAATATGCCTTGGGATCATGTCAAGCCATATTATCTAAACTGTTTTGTTAATAGGTAGTTGAATTAATAAATTCTTCCACATCTGGCTCTTTGAGGAAATTCAGGATCTTGATGTGGCCCGAACTGAAAATAATAAAACTTGTTCTCTTTCAGTTCTCAGCTCTGAGGCTGACCAATGTTAACTGTGATATTCACATAGAGAGGATACTTCCCGACTGATAAAGTGTCATATACGCAGCTGTTGAGTCCATCAACTCTCCACATCTTTGTCGTTTGTCCTAATAACCTCATCCTAGAAAAGAAGAAATACTGAAATTAGAATTGAGATAAATATATTGCAATTGACTGAACAGACTGGATATTTTTTGTGCGCACAAAACAACATAAATAAAAAAAAATCATATATCCACTCACCTGTTTTTGTTAACCTGATTTCCAGTGTCTCGTTCGTGAAACACCATGGTATAGCGCGCTATGTTAGCAGGAGGACGCACAATTTTCATTTTTTGCAGTTCAACTCTGTAAAACAGAGCCACATGAATCAAATAAGTCATTGTTGTGGATTGCATCTGCTTCAAATGTGACAGCATACGGAAACTCCTTCTTACTCTAATATAATATTCCTCACCTCACTCTAAGGTCATCATCTTCTCCACCCCATCCCCAGTAGTTGTTTGAGAAACCATTGACTTGAAAAAACTGATCTTTGGTCATGGCAGTGACTCCACCAAAGTAGCCTTTGTAACGGAGTCTGAGGAGAAAATAGACAGTTTTCTTGATAATAACAGACTTTAAGGTTTCACTGGAGAAGCATGTCAACAATTAATATCATTTTTTACAATAAAGTTAGGAGAGTGAAGAATATTCACGAGACCCAGCCTTGAAAGACCTTCACGTACTTGTATCCGGTGACATTGCGGCCGACTACCAGGTGTTTGGGCTGCTGGTCACAGATGTATAAATTGTGATCATTCTCGGGAACCAGGTCCACATCATGGAAGATGAAGCATTCCCAGCTAAAGTCTTTTATTGCCTCTAAATATCCAATATTAAGTAACTTGGCTCTGTTAAAAGTTGCATCACCGGCCTTGAATAAAAGAAAGCAAAATGAAAACCCTAAATTTAACAAAAACTTCAAGTTATTATTTAGAATATTGCTGTACACCTCTTTAATGTTGTTATATTATAGTCAGATAAGACTGACAAGGAAAAAATGAAAATCTACAGTGAATTTAGTAAGAGAAACCAAACAGGACATAGAAAACAAAGTGAATTTGAAGAAGATCTAACTTTTCTGGCTTGATTTGATGAAATTAAAATCCATCTTTAAAAAAAAATCATAACAGAAATAAAGAAAATTGTCTTGAAAAAAAGTATTTAGATCCTATCCACCTTTCTTAAATGAAAAGTCTCATTTATTTAACTAAATTGAACTGAAACAGAATTTCAGCCCTTTTCCATTTTCTCAACATGTTTTCATACACGCACATATTCAACAAGAGTGTTATCTATTATCATGTTTTCCAGTTTCCTTTGTCAACAGAATGTAATTTTATCTTTGACTGTGAAGAAGCCCATTTATTTTCAGACGCCTCTCATGTATCACAGTAACATATTTGCTTAGAGCTCATTTGCATTTGGCAGGTGACCTAGTTTGCTTCAATGTTCCCTAACAAAGTATCATATCAGCACCGCATGAGAAGCGCACAGCATGTCTTATTTTTAAGTTATCGGTAGTTCCTAGATATTTTTTCATGTAAAACAATGCACTTAAGAAAAAAAGAAAGAAAGAAGGAAAGAAAAAAAAGAGAGAAACTAAGAAAGAAAAAAGAAAGAAAGAGAGAAACACAGGTGGACTAAAAAGGAGCAGAACATAAGCAGGTGAGGACATGACTTCAACACCCTTGCAGTAAAGGAATAGAAGGACAAAAAACAAAGGAAGGAGGAGTGAAATGAAAGGCATAGAACACAAGTAAAGAAATTAAATAGGACACCAGGAAGTAAAGGAATGTAGAGCACCGACAGAGAGGTAGCACAAAGTAAACTGAAAGGAGGAAGTAAAAAAAGCAGGATACAACATTCAAACAACATGTAAAAATAGTTCCTTCACACCAATTCAGATCTAGATTGCCAGGAATACTGATATAGGGGAGGACAATCTTCAAAAGTACATTAACAACATGCAGAAATGTACCTGATGGATGACGTAAATGGCATAATGTAGTTGCTGCCGCTGCAGAAAGGGGTGCAGGTGGTGCAGGAGGTAGAGGAGGTGTCTCTCCCGGTTACGATGTGGAATGAGGATGGCTACACTGTGCCTTGCTTTACAGTCTGAGGGCTCATACTCTCCTTTAGTCACTACGTTGTTTTCCTTTTCTACATCCTTGAGGTTCAGTGAAGATTCAAAGGTCAGCTTCAAAGCTCCCACTGGAGAAGCAATGTTGAGAGAAATTTAAGCAGATATTCAACTCTGCAGTGAATTTCTGTCAGTTTCTGCACCAAAAGCAAGAAGTGGACTTAGCTTAAGGCATTCTGGATAAATACAATCAAAAAACTACAAAATCTAACATCACTACATTACTGTTTACATTCATAAATAAAGAAGTTCAGATGTTTGTGTGTTGTTTCCTTCAGTGGTTCTTGGTGCAGTGACACCACGGGGTTTGGTTTATTTTACACCATGCAGTGTGAAAGACAACTACTCCAGCTGGAAATGTAACAAATGTTAAATTGTGGATCCCCAATTGAACCGAGTCATCTGGATGAGGTTTGAAAACACCCTACCATGGTCAAGAAAATTAAAATGATTAATTACAACTGCATAAAACACCTGGCTTTTTAACAAGAATATGAGAACTATGTTATTTCCTTTCTACATTAACACCAACCAAGATGAATGACACAAATCTATTTAGTCAAATGAAGGATGTACAAAACTAGTCATCACCATTTGAAATATCACTTAAAAATATACTTACCTAGCAATGGAGACTTCTCTGGACACTCATCTTTTTCTGCTGAAATATTTGAGTGACTGGGTTCTGCAATCCTTGAGTTAAGTTCATCCCTCAGTTTGTCTTCTTTTACAGGAGTTTGTATTGTACCAAAGTTATCATCAATGGTCTTGTTAGTGTCCCCAGTAAAGCTGGCCTTCCAAGCCAGGACTGACAACAAGAGACCAATCAGAACAGCATATTTGCACCTTCGCGAAACCTTTTTGATGGCTGTACACATAATCATGATTTTGCCGATGTGACTACAGCAGCAGCGAATGTAGATGCTGCTATGTGTAGTTTAGGAGATTTCCATACAGGATATTAATGAAGAAATGCAGTTGATCACTGAATCAGTGGTAAGTCATTCCATGATGATGAATCATCCTGCTTCACTATAAAGTAGTCAGCAAACTGCAGGGGTAATCGCTTTCACTCAGATGGCTATAAGAATAAAAGTTTAATAAAAAAATATCTGTCCCCAGATCCGAAGCCAACCATAGGAACTCTTTTATAACTGTGAAGAGATCAAAGGAAGAAAACAGATTACCAAATATGGATAATTTACATCAGTATAAAGTACAAACATACAAAATATATGCTAAAAATATTTTCGTTATCTTCTAAACATATCGTCTTGTTTAGCATGTATGCTTTTAACTTTATTCTCTATGATTTTAGTTCTATGACCCTTAAATTATTTAATTTTTATTTTGTTTCACGTCATGTAATAATATGTGCACCTCCAGTGTTACATATTCAAGTCACATATTTATTGTTCCACAGTTCCTCTTCCCCTCCGATTGATTTATGTATCTCTTAAGTCTCCATGGTCTTATCAATAACTAAATGTCTCTTTATTTGTTTGATCATTTTTTATGTGTTGCTTACTTCTTGTAAGCCCTTCTGCTTTCAACCTCTGTAAACCACTTTGTGTTACCTTTAGCAGTATGAAAAGGGCTTTATCATGATGTCCCATAACAGCAGCTGACAGTACTGGCATTCATGTTAAACAAAACATGCTACTAAATTTTGCCCTGTAAAAACAAATATATTACCAAAGCAATTGAAGTTATCACAATTTAAAAACGTCCTCACGTTTATCTTAAAATCCTTTCATATTCTCTGTTCTTTTATTGACAACAGAGACATGCTAACCAGAGGTAGCTCATTATTATGAATACAAAGACTCAAGCAAGAATATTACCATTACAATTCTCCATATCGTTAATATTAGTGTTTAATGACAATAATAACTGACCCAGACGAGCTCAGACGTGACAACTAAACTACAGGCTAGCAATGCGGATGTAACGTCGACATCATCACTCAATGCTTTATAAGTTAACATGTTAGCGTAATAATAGTAGTAAACAACAGCCAAAAGCACACACGGGCTAGTATAACTAAAGGGAAACGAGCATTTATATTGACAACATACGATTATTACAGGCTTAAACTGCGCAGCTTACCTTAACCAACTTTAAAAGCCACTATCCAGAACAATAACGTGTAAAGTCAACTACAGGCGTTTCCGCTTACAGTATTTTCAAAATAAAATTTATATTTTTCTTTTATTGGTGAATGCTGGGAATTGTATGTTAGTAGCAGCCTAAATGTTCTACTGTTGTTTATTTTTTCATTACGGAGCATAATCATAATTTTTTTTCATATTTTAAATGTAGTTTGTAACTTCTCCCACACGTTTCAATATGTATTTGGTGTCTTCGGCTAAGAAAATAAAAACTGTCAAAAATTTACATATTTATATTCCTGTTTCATAATTATTTACTTAATAATATAGGGTTTATTTAATTGTTAAGCGTCTTTTATAAACTGAAAGACATTTAATGTGAAGCTGAAGTATGGTTTTGTAATGTACTTCCGGTTCACATTTTTCCAAAATAAGACGCCGTCAATGCTGTCAAAATTTAAGAGAAATCAAGTGTGTCAAATGTTATTATCAACAACATAATCTACAAACGTCTGCTATTATAGATGATATATTTCATGTGCTCGTATTTATTATTATATTTTTTTATGCGAGAACTCCTGCCTGGCCTGGCAACTGTTTCTTTTCTTTGTTGTGAGGCGTTTTTTATATAAAGATTGAACCAAAGTTTAATCACTTGACTGTATTCAACACTGTTTTTCACTTTGTTTTTTTTAATCTAATCTAGTTCAACTAACTTGTGTAACATTTGTCTGACAATTGATACATCCAAATCAATGCAATACTAGCAGCCGGTTCCAACTTCTTAAAATTATTTATATTTTATTGTTTCTTTGACTAAGGATGTGGGCTCATTTGATTCGGTTGTAGAGGTGAAAATGCTGTGCAATGTAACATAAGTTCAAGCATGTCATTAAAAGAAAAGTGTTGGAAAGAAAATAAGTTGAAAGAAAGACAAAAAAGACCATTACCAACCCTCTCCAGCTCTAAAATTGACAATCAGTGAAGAAAAAAAGACAAATGTCTTGTAGATTTCACACTCGTGCAAAGAAAAAACATAAAGTTTTGATTTAGTGGCTTTATTTATACAAAATATTCAATTGTTTCTTAAAATATTTTCTGTAAAGCAGATTTAAGATGAAAACCAATGTCACAAAGTTTGAGTGAAAGTTGGACTGACATTTTCTACATTAGGTCACTTTTTCAGTCAACATACAAAGAAAATTAAAATAAAAAAAACAATTAAAAAAAAATAAAATCTGACATACATCTCATGTTTTGACTGATCAATTGGAGTTTAAGAAGTTGAGCAATTCATAAAAAATAAGTTAAGTGGTTTCACATTGAATCTTTGAGTTTGAACCATAAATCATATATTTTGTTCTGTGTACAACTAACAGCTCCAAGTTTTACACTTGTACTTATTTAGACTTTATGGATTAGTTTTGTCAATCTCCGTTCCCATCATTATGTTCCTTACACTCTTGTGCATACCATGGTGTGCACTTTCTAAGAAAAAAAAAATCAATCATCTTCTCATGTGTAACTTGCACAATGCATCAGTGTTAACATTTCTGTGAAGAGCTAAATTTCTAGTTTATTGAAATTGTTCGGGGTCAGGTTATGCAGAACATGCCGATAAGTTCTCAATTACATCAGAGAACTTCTTCTTGACTCCTCAAAGCTCAACGACAGAGTAACTGTTCCACTGCCAAAGCTCACCCTCGGCCTGTGCCTCCCTGAAGTCGTGTCGCAATCATTGCCATTGGTCTTGAGGCTGATGGATGAGGACGGAGTAGAGGCAGATGACCCACCAATGCTGCCTGATTTTTTCCTCGAAACTGTGCTGTGTTTTAGCGTAGCTTTGGCGGCCACTTTGAAAGCATGGGCAGCGGTGCTGCATCGTACCTCTTCAATGGTGTTCCTGGATGGTTTGAAGAGGATGATGTACACCTTGTTAAAAAAAATGCAAGCCAGTTGTCCAAAGCTGGATGCCAGGATAGCAATAACCTCCACAGCTGACACAAACTTGCCATATGTACTGAAGTAGGCAGGGATAAAAGAGATCCAAACAATGAAGAAAATGAGCATGCTAAAGGTGATGAACTTAGCTTCTGTGAAATTTTCTGGAAGCTTTCTAGATTTAAATGCAAAAAAGAAACAAATGGCTGCCAAGAGGCATGTATATCCAATGAGAAACCCAAGAGCCATCACTGAACCTTCATTGCATGTGATAAAAATGATCTCATCAATGTCATAGTTCATGTAGCTTGAAGGAGGGGCATTGTAAAGCCAGACCACACATATCATGACTTGGACAAATGTGCATAGAAACACCAGGAGAAACTGCAAATTCAATCCCCACCATTTACGATGGAGACTTGTTGGGATTTTTGCCTCAAATACTAAAAGCACTCTGTTAGTTTTCACAAGGATGCAGGAGATGCAGAGAACAAAGCTAATCCCGAAGGCAGGCTGCCTTAAGCGACATGTCCAGTCTTGTGGTTCTCCAATGAAGATTAAAGAACTGGAGAAGCAGCAGATTAGTGAAAACAGGAGGACATAGGACAGTTCACGATTGGTGGCCTTTACTATTGGGGTATTGCGGAATCGGATAAAAACTCCCATCACAAAGGCTGTCAAGACAACACCAACCACAGCACATATGGCCAAAGCTATCCCAAAAGGTTCTGTCCAAGAGAGGAACTCTATTTCTTTCAGGAAACAGAACGTATGGTTCCCATTGGACCAAGAGTTGTTTGGACACTTGGTGCAGACGCTGGCATCTGTGTAAAGCCAAAAATACAATCTGTTTTAGAAACTAAAATAATTACAGGGACTACCATGAGGAGCATAGCATTTTACCTCTGTGATTACTATACTCTCCGTCTGAACACTCAGTGCATTCAAAGCAGCATGTGGGCATGCTGTCAATGATTCCTTTTCTTGTGCCAGGTTCACAGTCCTCACTGCAGTTAGAGAACGGCACCTGCAAACAGTAAACAAGTTGCATGAGAACAACTTAAAAACACATATACAACAAATAGTGTAGCAGGGCTCACACCGGTAGCAACTGGTCAAACAGGCGAACAGCACAACTTACGACAAGAACCCGACGAGAAACAAAGGACACAGGTGGGATTAAATACACAGAGGGTAATCAGGGGAACAAGACACACCTGGGAGCAATCAAGGGGAAGACAGAATAACAAGGAGACTTAGGACACAGAAAACTCAAATAAATAGGTCAAAGAGAGAAATAATGATGTCTCCTTATGCCGTGACTGTCTCCAGTTCATTCTGGGAAATAATAAGGACTTGGGGAAACTTAAGAACTAATATTCCAAAGGGAGTTTGATATCCTGATCAGATTAGTGACGAACACCAACTAAATCCTCTGCAATAGAAATTTCATTGAATCCTGTTCAATGACAATAAATGCTATCTATCTATCTGGATGTGGAGAAGCAACAGCTGTACTATGAACTCTTCTTGGATGACAGATACAATATCTTTCATCTATTTCTAAAGCTGAAACCAGCCACCGTTTGGAGGAAACTTGTTTCAGTTACTTGTATTCCAAATCTCATTGGTCATGACCCATGACTGTAGATGAGGGTGAGATAAGAGACAGATCAATAAATCAAGAGATCTAATCCTTATGTCTCTCTTGGGCATGTCAGATTCAGAGCAGCTGAAAGACACAGATAGAACCACATCATCTGCAAAAGCAAAAGTGGCCCAGAGGTTTCCAAACCAGAGATCTTCATCTCCATGACAAAACCTTGAGATCATTTCCAAGAATACCACAAACAGGACCAGGGACAATAGGCAACCCTGGTGGACTTCAACATAAGACATCAGTGTACTTTAAGAATATCTTTATCTTAATTTGACTGACCTCTGAATAGTATCCATTCCAAAGAATCTTTGTCTTGTCAATGGATAGTTTGCCCCCCCTCTTCGCGTGGATATTGTAGTATCCAACTTCCTTAAACATCACAGAGCCGTCTTCAGTGGATCTCTGCCAGTTTATAATGGTATAGTTTGCTACCAGCTCTGCATTTTCATCAAAATGCATCTTTTCACCTATGCTGTTGGTGTAGTTCAAATGTCTCAGCTGTTTCAGTACCTATGAGAAACACCAATATGTTTAGATGACTTATGCATTTGTGAACTTGGTTTTATAAAATTGTTTTAATCATTTATAAAACATGTTACCTGCCATGCTTCAATTTTTTTAATATCTGCACAGGAATTATTTGCAAAAAGTCCACGTCCAGGTGTGCAGGTAAATATGTCCTGCAGGGCCTGCGCAATGGAATAAACTGCTACATATGCATTATAGGAAATACGAAGGTGTGTGTAGTCCAGGTATGGGGTCTCAACACTTGTAATATCTTCCTCACCAGTACACAAGGGCCTGAAACTAGTGCTGCCGTTCTCACTTTCTTGAAGTCTTGGGCTGTCTTCTAGGTAACAGTTAAAAGTTTCTTCCCAAAACTCCCTGACAAATTCATTATGGCTGTCTTTCTTTGGCTGAACCTGCTGTAAGAACTCCCTAAAGCCGGGTATAAGTCCTGCTCTTAGAGCAAAACCAAGAGTTCCTCCAACAACATCTAAATATTCTGGTTTAGCGATGAGAGAAGAGCTTGCCCATGCTTCACTAGCTAACCAGGTGCGATCTGTGATGTTTCTCCTGACCATCTCTTTGATTAACGGCTCAATATCTGGGCCACCAGCAAAAACAACAATTACTTTAGCTGTGGAGTTTTCAATTCTGTCGGCCAGAGCTCGGATCTCATGATCCTCAAAGTACTGAGAAATAAGTTCATTCAGATGAATGCAGATGTCTCGCTCTTCCATTTCTTTTTCAAACTTTTCTATTCCTGGGCGCCCATAGTCATCATCCGAAGCAACAGCAATCACCCAGTTCCACTGGAAGTACTCTATGATGTCTGCCATGGCTGTGGCCTGGTATTCATCTGTTGGAATGGTTCTCATGAAAGACTTATACTGATTCTTGTTGCTCAGGAGTCGACTAGAAGAAGCATAACTGATCTGAAACAGGAAAG